GTGCTTCAGCTGGCAGCTTAGTGGCCTCACTTCTGCTTCTTGTACCCGATAAGTAAGTGGGAACTCTGTGTGTGTTTTTTCTTGTTCTTTTTGTCCTTGAGAATGAAGTTGTAGTAATAAGTTTGATTTGCAATGTAAATACTTACAAGGGGAAGGATGGTTAGTCGACGTGGCCTTTTTGCATCCGATGTATACCGTATCGAAGGGCATATAACGCTGATTCTGAATATTCCATATCTCCGACGTTTATGGACGAAGAGTTATGAGCAAAAGTGGAGCTTCTCGGAGCAAAAGTGCAAGTAGGACAAAAGTTTTCGCAATATTTTTGTGCTAGTGGAGCAGTGATAAAATTAGGCCTGTTCGAGTAATAATACATTAAACTTGGTTGCTTTGTTTGAGGTCTAGAAAGCTTTTAGCAACGTGCTCCAAATAAATGCTCATAACTTCTCGTCCACAGATGTTCCGCAGATAAGGAAGGCATATTTGAAATCTATTCTATGCTTTCCTATGACATACGTCTCATCTAACAATAAGAAAGCCACTTTGACTATTCTCCGTTAGCGGTTTATAAAACTTCTTTCGAGTGTAGACATTATGAAGTGACCCTTATTCGCTTGGTTTTTTTTGTAATAGTTTGATGGCCCACATTCTGTGCCATCTCAATAGTCGGTATGTCGTCTATATCGTTTCTCTTTGATTCTATCGATTTTTCCCTTTTTCAGCGTTTATTTTCAACTTCTTCAGTTCAGGGTCGAACCAGCTACCCAAGTTCTCTACGCGCTTGGAGAAGAACTAATGACACTACGCTTTGGCGCGCTAACTCCAGGCTACTATCTAAACGAAAGATTGATCAAGGTGTGAATGTACTCGTATTCCTGCATACTTTCGGCTAATAGGCCTTTGCATCTACATGTTATCTCACGCAGTTTTTACAGTCATCAAGTATATTTCAAATTTAGTTTGGATGAAATTTTTATATCTTTCCAAAAGGTGTAATGCTTGATGCCAAATTCGATTCTTTTTTCACTGATGTTTCGATGTTCCATTATAAGTCTTTTCAATATATTCCTTGCAGATTGTAGATGATTTTTTACCTGATGACATCTCGCCGGCTCAGGGAAAGCTGTACGTCTCTCTCACAAATAGACTAGTAGGTCCATCACTCATCATTTATCAGAGGTTGATTTTACAGTGTGATTTCAGGATCGTAAAAATGAATTAATTAACAAATTCAAAAGTAAGGAGCACTTGCTGCAGTGTCTAATGGCAAGCTGCTATATTCCCATGTACTCTATGGGTTACGGAGGACGAGCACCAATCATCGACGGGATTGTAAGTGGTAGATTAGTATAAAAATCTTTCTAAGGCCCGTATGCACGTACATCCCGCTGGGGAGGGGA